CAAGATGGACAATAAAAGATACAGCCAATTTGAAAAGACACCCAAAGACACAAAAACACTGAAAACTGAGGTCTCAAAAATGACCAAAACGCAGAGAAAAAACTGTTTTGAATAATAAAAATGCGCTTTAGTTTTAGCCGCTTTACTTTTTCTAGCCTCTACAAATTGAGCATGTTCAGCAGGGTGACGGTGTTTTAAGTGTCTGTTTAAGTTTGTCGTTCTGAATGTTTGCAGTACATAAGGCACTAGTGGGATGCTACAATGTCGATTACGTATGTTGAATGATTCATAGTGACGGATCTGGAATCAGTAACACTCTGGCCATTTTTATATGATATATGAAAGAAGTACAGTAAGTCACTAACACATTCTCGGTCTAGATGACTAAGCACATCATTCATACGCTTTCTTGCCATGGAATTTTACAGCCAGGAGAAACATCCTTCAGCTAAATCCATTATAGTATCATATCAACTGTCTGAGATAATGACTAAATCTTGACTAAAAACAAAACAGACTAAAATGTGACTTTAAACCAACTACAATTTTCAGTAAATGACTAAAATTGAATTTAAAATTCTTGTCAAAACTAACAGAATTATTTATTGCATTTTTGCTTATGCGACTGAAATGAACATTATGTAATTGTAATTGTGCATTATGTAAAAATGGCATGCTGTGTTGATTTTCTAAATGAAAATAAGTGAACACATCCTCTACAGAGACACACTTCTGCACATTTTAACGCACAAATTATTGCCTATTTGCTAAATTTAAAACATTGGGCAAAACAAAAATAAAATAAAAGAAACTAATATAAAATAAATAAAATGTGGCCTGTGCGAAAGGTATGACACATTTTATCTTTTATATTTTTTCCAATATTTTGAATACAAATACAACATGCAAGTATAAATAAACAGAAATTGTACTCTAAAGGTTACAGAATGCAAATGCCAAATTGAAGTGTGTTCTCAGTAGCTAAATTATTCTCTGTATGTAAAATTATTTTCACTTAGAAAAACAACAAAACATAATTTGTTCAAACTTTGCATATAATTGTACTGTAAATTCTTTAAACAGTCTGACAGAAAGAGAGTTGAAAGCATCTGTAACGGTCAAGGCTTTGAAGACGGTTCTGGAAATCTGTGCATCAGTGAGCACAGGTTCACTGTTTACATGGTGGAAAGCAGGAAAGTCAAAAGTGGTTGTAAAGTGAAGAAAATCAATACTGAGAAACTGTATGTGGTTGTTGGCTGTGGAAAGGTTAAAAACAAATGTCTGCCTGTCCACTTTGAAAATCAGACTAAAGTGGCACCAAACAAAAAAGCTGCCCGCTGTAAACCAAAGCAGGTCATTTATTCTGATCTTACAAACGAGAACTTATTGTTCGAATTACTCATCTTCATCTTCACACCAGAGACAGGCGTCTACTTTCATGCTTTTCCCTGCTGGATAAAAGTCTCTGCTTTATATATGAATGTTAATTACATTTCATGAAGAAGGTAGAACATTTAAAGAATGAGGATTCTGATGTTTTACTGCTTTTATTATGATAATATCATAAACATCCTCATATTAAATGGTGATCATGTTTAAAGTTATGATGTAGAGAATGGAACTACTACTGAATGTCTGTACTGTAAATAAAAAAGGCATAAGAACATTCTGTACTCAAGAAACTGGTGAAAATTTTTTTTTTTTTTTCATTTTATAGCATTTTTTGCTTTATACTGTTGCATTAAAAATATGAATCATCAGTGCGATTAATGCAAAATGTGGCCTGAGTCATTTCTTTACTACTTTACTATCACTAAACATCATTTTTTTTCTAAATGCACTATTACTGTTTACTGAATTTACAATAAAAATCATCAGACACCAGACATAGAAACATAAAGTGTGGCCAGTGCAAAAGTTATGGTACATCGTAAAATGGTGCAGAAAATGCAAAATCGACAAAATATGCAATGCAGGTGTTCAACAGGAGTGGGTCTACAGAGTGGCAGTGATCCCCCTTCTGTGGCATTGCACCCAACTTGCCACCCTAATACTGCAGCTCTTAAACATAATGTAAATGTGTACATGAACATATTAAGTTAAATAGGACGTCTGCACTCCAACAACACATGAAGCACACAAAACACAGTTGTCTGGCTGTCTCTGATTCCTGAGAGGCGGCTCTCTGCCTCCCTCTAGTGTTGGCTTTAGGTCTTACCACAGGCTGGGTGACAGTGACCCCTGCCTGTGGCAGACCGAGAGTGAACTTTCACTGAGATGGATCATGGTCTCGCAAGGCCCCTGGACACAAGCATCTTTGAAGGCCCCCCATCTCCTCACTCTGACATTAACACAAGAATTATGGTTACCCCTAATGTATCGGGACAAATAGGTGGCCTGTGCAAAAGTAATATTATATTTTAACATATACATTTTTGCAAATATATAGAAATTTTGCACTAAAATTTCCAAAGAAGCCATATTTAAGTGTGTTCTCTGTAGAGGATGCTTTAACTTATTTTCACTTAGAAAAGCAACAGAACATGCAGTTTGACCAGGGGTGTTCAAACTTTTGCACACAACTGCATCTTGTGCAGATAGCGTTTTAAGACCCCAGCAGCTGAGCGGTCTTCTCACAGTGGAAGGATGGGCAGAAACACCTGTGGATGTTTTCAGATCTGAATCAATAGTGGAGCTTGATTTTCCCCTCTCTCTCAAAGATGAAAACTTCATGTACTGTTTGTCTGAGGGGACAGTTTTGGTGGTCTACAGGTCTTACACAGTTGTTAGGGGTCCCATTTTCTCTGTAGCTTTAAATGATTTTTTGAAATCCAGTTTTGGAAACTCCTGTTTCCTTTGACTTTCTTCTTCCTTAAGGATGATTATATGTCTAATTTCCTCAGGAATATCTCCTAAAAGGAATAACTTGTACTTAATAGCTGTTGACTGTGAATTAAATAAAGGAAGGGTGTTCTCTGACTTGCACAGAACTGTATCTGTCTTTCACACCTCAGACAGGGCCAACAGAGTCCTGTGTGAAGAGGCCGCTCTTACCTCTTCACCCATAACTCTGTCTCTCTCCTTGTTTTTGTGTATCTACATATTAGAAAAGTGCTGTGCTGTCCACAAAATGTGTGTGTGATGCACACAGACGTTAAGTGTCTATGGCTGAATCTCAAATGGATCCCTACTCCCTTCTTACTCCCTATGAAGTGCACTGCATAGGTCTTCAAACTATGGCCTCTACACCAAAATAGTGCGTGGCAGGGAGTCATGCAGCTTGGGCTGAACTTTGTGTTAAACTAATTTGGGTGTATCCGTCATTATTTTATGGCCTACATAGTGCACTACATAGGGATCATGATTCCATTTGAGAAGCAGCCTCCAAATTTGTGCAGAGCAGGAGTTTTTGGGCTGAAATGGAGGCAAACAAAATAATTTGACTAATAAACAAACATTATTGTGTGTTATTTGGTGCACTTAACCAAATTAAAGATACAAAATCACACAAACCCAAACTCCGTTTTAGCAAATGAACAAGCTGTGAAAAGAGCCTTAATCTCTGACACAACGCACTATAATGCAGTACCAGTAAACAGATATTGTGCACTAAATTGTTCTGAAAAAATGCTATTTAAAGTGCGTTCCATGTAGAGGATGTGTTAACTTACACTATATGGCCAAAAGTATGCAGAAACCCCTTCAAATGATTGAGTTCAGGTGTTTCAGCCACACCTATTGCTGACAGGTGTATAAAACACCGCAAAATTCAGCACCAGAAGTTTGAAAGGGAACATCCAAACAAGTCTGATGCATTTTGGAAACTGTCCTGTGTCCTGTGGACTGATGAAGTTAAAACAGAACCTTGGCCACAATTAACACTGAATTAGAAGCAAATTCCATTTCATTTTGTCTTCTGTCTTCGTTGTTATGAATATATATTAACTAGCTGCGAGGACAAGGAGGTCTGGATCTAGGTGGTTTCACGTATCTCTAATTAGTTTTAGTGCAGACATTTCAGGGGAATCAATTATCCAAACAGCAGCTACATGACACTGACATGGCGAGAGGAGTAGGCAGATGGACCTAGGAAAGGTAGCATCTGGAACAGAGGTGTGTGTCTTGGCAGAGAACAAGGCTGGAGTCAGCACCAGGGAAAAGCACTCCTGTACCTGCTTCCAGGCTGAAAGCTCGGAGTCTGGGCTTGCATTGAGGCTGCGCATCATAGGAGGGGTGGTGGCATTGCTTGTGGTGCTAGCATTAGCATTGCTACTTTGGAGGTTAAGAACACTAAAGAAAACTGACACAGACCGAGACTGGAGGAGCAGAGGGGGTGCTCTGAGAGATACGAATTCCCTAACTTTAATCCTAGTTATATCTGCATCCTGAAGCATACAATTGTACGCAAAAGTTACCCCCAGTGGTGGAACCAACTTAAATACATGACATATTTCTGCAAAAAAAATAATGGACAATTATTGCTTATCTAACATGTCACAAAGGCATTTGTTGTAGGGTGCGTTCGACTTAATGTGGCTCTGCACAGTGCTAACTCAAAGCGACCCATGATGGTTTGAAATTTTGTCAGATTTTCACCGGCGCTGCAGAACATCACCATGTTACATGACGTTAAGATCACGTGGGAGCCAGGCAGCTGCAGTTTCTGAAGTCTGACCCTGCAGTTGCTCACCATCTGAGCTACAACATGCCTTCGTGACATCAGAACATCAGCGTCATTGGCTGGGATTTCTGATGACAAACATGACGTGTGTTTCACGTATGATGCCATTTATTTGATTCCTGCCTTCTGGCAGCTTATTTTTTACATATGGCCACCATACACTACAGTTTTATTTCCAGTATTTGTTTTGAGCCCATCGATTTCATCTTCAACAAAAAAGGCAAATTCTGCAAGATTGGTCCTCAGTGCTGCGCAAGGCCGCATTAAGTTGAACACACCCAATGGGTCAGGCTAAATCGAAAACGAATGCACCCACTGTCTAGTGGCCTTGCTGTGGAACAGAAGGTGGGGCCCCATGCCACTCATGGCTATCGTCGTCTTCCCGCCGCATCTCATGGCTGTCGATCCCCTCCCACCATTTCTTGCGGCTGACGTCCTCCTCCCGCCATCTCAAACGTGCTATTATCACCATGTAGGGTTTGGGCACCACCTTCCCGCCACCTCTCACAGCTGTTGGGGCCTGAGGCACCTGGCATAGCCATAGTGATAGTTTTACATTGATTTTATTTCATTTACCCCTCTCTCTCACTCTCTCTTTCTCTTTCTCTCCACTTTTCTGTATTTCTGTGTCGCTCCTTGTCCCTCACTGATTACTAAAAAAGGACATATTAAACATACGGTACAAAGGACTTTCTTTACCAAACCCCAGCTAAAAGGAAGGACAGGGTACTTAAACAGCTAATAAGACAAAGTACAGCTAAACGTACCAGCTGATTTCTGAATTACATTAACAGTGAACTCCCATGCTGGGTGTATTATGTCATGAGTAGGTAACAACACAACTTGCATTTCTGAGTTTATGGCTAGATAACTAGATATGGAACCTGTAGCCTTAATTGAGCAGCTACTGCAACTAGGCTAAAAACATATTAACTAGCTAGCAATGTTATGAGAAGTCCAAATAAAAAAAAGTTATGGAGCTATAATCTCTTAAATAAACTCTCACATTTTAACATGTCATATATTAGCCTATGGTATATGTGCTTCATACCTGAACATCTAAAAAACTCAGTCTATCTGGTTATGGTAGCACTGTGGCTCATCAGATGTGAACATAATAAATCTTCCACCTCCCTTTGACTGGGTAGGCCTGTGATACCATGGCTGTGCCTCTGAATGGACTACAGCATTATCAGAATGGCACTGTTTCCACATTAAATTTCCACCCCTACCCCCCAAAAAAACTCCACTTAAGCATGCAGATGTAGGTTGGGTGTGTGGTGAGCACATAATGTGGTGAAGATAAACATGACCTCTTTCAAAATACAGTTCCATTAGCCAATGATAGGGTTACACTAGCTAGCTTTTTTGCTTGTGTTATCAGTTACATCAGTTACATTATATGTTAAAAAACATGGACTAGAGGCCTTTGTGGGTAGGTTTTAACAGTGGATTTCTTCCTAGTTCAGCACCAAAAGTTTATGGAGTTGGATCCAGATGCGTATTCTCATCACAAGATCACATCTGGCCCCACGGCAAACAGGTCATTCCAATTAATTTTAAAAATAAAAAACAGACAATTCTTTCATGCTCAGCAATAGTTTTAATAGCAATAGAGAGAGATGTGCTGCATCTCTTTTCAAAAATCAAAAGCATATAAAAGTAAAGCAACTAAACAGATTTATTTTTGAGAATTGAACAACACAAAGAAAATATAACACAAAAGTCTCGTAAACAAACTTTTATCAGCATGGAAAGTTGTGGAAAGTATATATATGTTTACACATTGCAGCTTAGACTGTATTCAGTAAGTGGTAAAACTGAGAAAGATTTATAAGTTTTTATGGTCCTGACTGTGAATCTGCCAAATACCTGTTTTTCATGCACATTTGGCCAAGTCTCAGAACCATACCAGGCTGCACAGGGAACCGTTACCTGAGGATGTTCTTTGATTTGGGATGTTTTATACATGTAGGCCAGAGATTCCTGGATATTTATGTGATATGTTTGTACTAACTTATCAAGATTAGTCAAGAATTTGTTTACATATTTCTTTCCATTTTCACTACCAGCTTCACAAACATGAAATTTGATGATTCCATTTTTTGGCACAGAGTCAGTCAACAATGTTTTAACAAACTTGGACAGAATATCTGCAAGTGTTTTCGAATCTTTTCCGCAAATAGTACCAACATTGCCAGAAAAAACACCGTGGCAGTGGATGTGTATGAATAACTCTTTAGCAGAGGATACTTTTGTGCGATCCTGATCCTTGACCTGAGTTTTGATTTCATCATTCTCTATTTCTCCAACAATGTCATTTTGTTTGTGTAATTCCTCTATGTGATTTATATCCTTATCAAATGCATCATCCGATTTCTCATTCCTATATACATGTATGTGAACACTTGGCTCTTTCCCATAAACTTTAAGGTTTTTATTCTCCAGGTTGTCAACAAGGTGACCTGTAAAAGCCTCTCTTTCTTTTGCCGTCCCACAGGTTTTTGGAAGTTCGACTCTGATTCTTTGCTCTGGATGTGTTTCCACATCCTGAACTCTCAACAGCTTCAACAAAATGTCGGCTAAACCCTGCGCTGTGTGTGAACCCACTTTCAAGCCTTTCTTATCAGATGTGCAAGCAGATATTAGCTTAACAGCCACTGAATCTGCCTCCAGGATTTTCACTTGAAATATATTTACAGGCTTTAGTTCAGGTCTCCATGCAGTAAACACTGTCCTGAAGCTGAATGCATATGGATGATGTTGAGCAAAAATGCTGTAGTATTTTTCATCTTTTTCAGACATAGCTACCATTTTATTTTGCGTTTTTATCTCTTCTTCTAGGAGAGTAAACACCTGTGTTTCCTGATTTTGATCACCCAAACCCAGATAAACATTTATCACCCCTCGTCCAACTGTGATTCTGTCATTTGTTGTCTGTACCACTTCTTCAAACTCCTTTTGGAATTGAAAGCCAGTATATGTTTGCAGGTCGTCTGGGAACACGACAATAACAACAGGGTCACCTTTGAAAATCCTTAAAACAAACTCTCCTAATTCCTTTGCACCTTTTCTTTTATTGTCCCAAAGAAAATATCTGTTTTCACCTCCCTTTTCCTCAATTTGGAATTTTCCTCTAATGTAGAGTTTTATGAGCCCAGCCTTTTCAACGAGACTCCTGTCAGAATCATCATTGTACATGGGTTTAGCTGCATCTTCAGAATTGTACCACATTTTCACCAGATCACGTATTTTTTGAAGTATGACATATTTTTCATTAGGCAGTCTTTCATAGTCCTCTATATCCTCAATAATGTCTTTACCATCAAGGTTAAGTTGAATGTGTATGGGGTGCACAGCACCACAGAAGACGATGACCTGAGTGAGGGTCCAGTACACCACGGCCCATCTCAGGACAGTGGCCATCGCAAGTGCTCCACACTCTTCAGCTGGAGATCTTCAACTGTGTATTCTGATGCAGGAGAGTACAGCTGTTTTAAATACTCAAGCTTTAAAGCTTTTGTCATTATGTTTAAATGATCAATTATCATTTATATCATCAAATGTTACATTACCAAACTGAATGTGTCCGTGTGGAGTAATGAACCGACCTTTGCTGTAAATGTTGTGGACACAATGTAAAGTATGTATTAACATTAAATGACTACTGGACTTTAAACAGACTGTAGCTACAGTGCACTCAGACTGTTGCTCATTAAATACAGTTACAGCACAGTATCTGAAAGTAGAGCTGTAGAGATGTAGAGCATGTATAGTGCAGATGAAGAAAATAGTTCTACTCACCTTTCGTCCAACAGACCCCGAGTGAAAACTTCCTCTTCTTACCTCAGAATTTATAGGTCAGTTTAATCAGCACTCAGCCAATCAGAGGCCTGACACAGTGTGGAGGGTTTGAATGTTATTTGCATGCTCATCTCAAACAGGTTTCTTTAACCGTTGGTAGCTTCATCAGTAAAATTACGACCTCTTAGCGCTACTGTTTGTATTCAGATAGTTCAAATTTGACTCATGACCAAAGTACTTGCTGTGCATTAGTGTTCACTGATTAATGTGTGCTGATGTGTGGAGCACCAGAGGTATAGTAAGCTGGACTTATACTGTAAAAGCTGTAAGATTTATGTTCACTGTAAGTTTATACCTTTTCCACTTTCTATCTAAATGCCAATATTATGAGCACTTAACAGCTACAAGTTCAAATAGAAGTGTTTTGATCTGGATCAGCAAAATAGTAATGGAGACCCTAGTGCAGATCTTGAATTACAAGAGCAGGACTGTCATGATCACGAAATTTTAGCTGACATCTAATTGTCATATAAATAATTGTGATTAATTATTTAATCATTAATAATCTTTTTGTTTCAATGTATGTAACTATTAAAATACAAACCTAAAGTAGCCAAAATAACTGACTAAACTTGCATCCTAGCTGTGTTTACTGAATAAAACATCTACAGTTACAGATATTAATGTAATCAAGCAAAGCTGCAATTTTTATTGAGTCAAAACATAAAAAAACTCATTCTGCAAGCATACATGCTAAAACGTTAGCTACATAGCTAACAAATAAACAAGCATTGCTTGCGCTGCACTCTAAACATCTTAGAAAACCACGTTAGAAGTTCTCAAGACTTCAGTGTGTCTCAGTGAATGCAAATTTACTTTTATTTGCCTCAACTCAGCGCATCAAAGACACATTTTGCTTGTTGCATCATATTATGATTATAAAATCTAATCACTGTGGAAAATAAAGCAGTCAGCTGAAATAACTATGCCTCTAGGAGATTATTTAATAATTGTGAAAGGCGTAGGGAAGAGTTCTTGCTGTGTCAAAACAGACCTATAAAGTTTCCAACTTGCAATATACCAGTTACAGGTGCTAGTAAAGCATCCAGAAGTTTTTCCTGTCAAGGACTCAAAAGTTCAAACTCATCCTGCAGAATTGGATGCAAATGTTTGGCCTGGTGATTAGAACTGAACATCAAACATGCCGCACTGTTGTAGAAGACATGTCAGTAGATATATGACTGTGATTAACCAAATTGGGTAAGAGATTAACTCTCATTCACCAGACAGAGCTCTCTGGACGTTACATAGAGCTTTAGTGAAGTGCTGTATCAGTTACTCTCTGAGATGATACTGAGTTGTAAGTTTTACAAAGAAGTGCCTGCATACTGTCATGTTATCTGTGGCTCCAGCATACTAGCTGTTAGGGCTGGCTAAGTTTAGGATTAGGTTTAGGAGTAGGTGTATGTTTAGTGTTGAAGTTAAGGTCAGGGTTAGGTTTAGGAGTAGATGTAGGTTTAGAAACTAAGTTAAGGTTAGGTGTAGGAGTAGGTGTAGGTTTAGGGACTAAGTTAAATTTAGGGTTAGGTTTAGAAGTAGGTGTAGGTTTTGTGTTGAATTTTAACTTCAACATGCTACATGCTTTAAAGGCAACTAAATAATGTTCTGCACTTTACACACTGATAATTAAAATATCAGGTTTACATACATATATGAACTCCAAAAGGTTGTGCTGACAGTTGGTAAATAAAGTCAAATGAAAATAAAAAAGCCAAATAAAAACAGAAACCGAAATAATACAGGCAACATATTTAGTGTTTTATCTGATAAAGTTAATGTTTTTTTGTAAATATATGTTCATTCTGAAACTGATGCCTGCAAAACATTCCAAAAAAGTTGGAACAAGGGCAGTTCAAGACTAGCAACATTGTGAAAACGTTCTTAAACAGGTGATGCTATCATGCTTGAATATAAAAAGAGCATCTAGGAAAGGCCGAGTTCTTTATGAGCAAGGATGGGTTGAGACTGGCCACCTTGCCAAGAATACATCAGCAAAATATTCAAAGGTGATGGAACACAGTGGTAAACATGCTGCTGTCCCAACTGTTTTAGAATGTGCTGGAACAAAGTTGGTAAAAAACATTCTTGGAGCTGCATCTAGGCACAAGTTGAACTTTATCAATAGCAGAGGAAACCAAACTCAAAGTATAAACCAGTCCAGTACAGGTCTCAGTCTGAGGCAACCAAACAGAGGCCGAATCTGAATGGAAGTAAACTGAAAGACAGGAAACAAGTCAAAAACCAAAATACACTATACAAAAATCACAAGGCTTAGAACTGCAAGAGCTTAAAGAAGACTTTGCAGTGATGTAACAAAATAATAGCATGACAAATGATAAACCAATCAGATAGTTGAGAAACCTGAGGTGAGGGTGACCTCTGCAGGTGAGGAGGGGAATCCCCTGCTAAGGATGTGACAGTTGCTGCCTTTCACAAATGTTTGATAAACAAACAAAGGCCCCAAAGAGTAGTTATGAAATCATATCCATAGTTCTTATTCAAACATATATGCTATAAGTAGCCACCACTATGGACGCTGATGGCATGCAGTTGCTAACTTGACAATAACTGCACAAATTACATACATTTCCAAAAGTTTGCTTTTCACACCACAAAGGCCACAATTTACAAAGAAATTCATGCTGCAATCAAAACAATGAAGATTAGTCAGCAGATATAATAATGCTGTAAAAAGTATTGGTCTTAGTACAATATGGTACCTCCTGGTTAACCCCTTAAATAGTCTTACATACTAAGACTTATTATTTAGTTATAACAGGGCCACCAATACAAACGGGTTGAGCTATTCTTAGGTTATAGAAGTGTGTAATAAAACTTTGGGCCTGCAGCTTTTTAAGGGTTTACAGATGAAACTAAGTAATTACAAGTGTTATCAGTCAAACACACCACACTATGCGTCAAACCCCCAAACTTCAGAATCAAATCCTTCTGTAATATAGAGTATGAATATATATAAAGTATATAAAATAAGAATCATTATGATCTTTTAAATGAGAAATGCATTGATGACTGTAACTAGGTGGTGTGTACAGAGAAGCAGTTAAATTTTTTCAACATTGTTGCTGAAATCTGAATACTTAGAACATTAATTTTTGTTCTGATCCTGTAAAAAATTCAAATGAAGTATGTAAGAATTGTTACAGTCCATAAATGGAAGCCAAGCTGCAAAGACAGCCCATTCTGAATTCACTGTTTTTGTGATGTCATGAAAACCAACACATTTACGTATATCCACCTACTCGAGCCAACAGCAGTTTAGCCCCGCCCACTGAAGTTATAAGGAGTGTTTCAGCCTGATCTGCATTTTGAACAAGGCACAATACAGGGCAACCAATTCGCTCAGAGGTCATTAATATAAATCAGTCTTAAAGACACAGTAACAAAAACAGCTGGTTTAATTCTAAGGGATAAAGAGAGGTTGGAAAATGGTCTTAGGACTAGGCTGAAACATGCCGTAATGCCGTAAAGGCTTATTTTCAAGTGTTTATAAAAATCAAGTAACTTACTCTCAGTTTGTATTGATACTATTTCTTTCTTCTTCCCATGAATAGCCCACATATACAGTTGGACGCTGCTTATGAGTGTAGCTCAACTGACACAATGCCTCTTGCAGATGCTACGTTCTCCAGTGATGATATCATGGACATCCTTGCTCTGTGAGCCATACTGCCCTCTGTTGGTCAAACAGAGGCCTTCAAGAGACAACACCCCACATGACTCAGAGACACAAAACATGTACAACAGAGACGGCAAATCTAATCCATGACATCTCACTAAGGACAAGCAAAACAATATGTAACCCAGTAAGACTAGAAATGATGAAATATCTCAGGTTGGTCTGAGGACCTCAGAGAGGATCCATTCATGTGGCATGTGATCAACATGGTCAGTGCGTTATGGACGTCACCTGAAAAATGAAATAAAGATTTGATAAAAATAGAATTCATTAGGTGAACATGATGAATGTGGACAGTTTAATTCATACAGAGCTTTTTGTTGTTGCTTTTGTTTTTCCTATTAGTTGATTCACTCTGCTAATTAGTAGAGCATGTTTGTCCCAAAAAGTCACATATACAGTGTTTTGCTCAGAAAAAACTAATAAATCAATATAAATATAGACAAATAAGACTAATGAGTAGTGATTGCATATATGTCAGTGTTAGTGTTTAACCATTTTCAAACCTCTACTTGATGCAGCTCTGGATTATTTGTGGTTATCAACCAACATTTGGATCGACTTAATTAAGTTAACATGTGGTAAATGTGTGATCACAGATCATCCATCATCAAACCACAAAATAACACATAAAAATTAGTGTCATATGGGAACAAATGACGGCTTTCTTTTTCAGAAACATCACACCCAAAACCCCAGTAACCTCCAGCAGCTTAACACCAATGACATCAAGCACCTTTCATCTCACACTGGTTCCACAAACAAGACTCTGACTTTACTCAAGTGCTGTACACAACACCAGTATCTCAACTCATGAAGTTTTCTGAAGCTGAAATACACAAAAACCACCAAGAGTCATTAATTTTAGGCCTGCGTTTGGGTTTTGGTTAGTTTTTACTTTTGCCCTGTATCTGGAGATCCAGTATGAATTTATCAGTGTTAGCTCTGCCTGTGTTTTGTCCTCTGCTGTGAGTAATGGTGCCAGTTATGAAACAGAGCCTGTGCCTCTCATACTTTACTCTTACAAAAACATTTGTCTGTCAGTGACTCAGATTTACACCCTGAACATCTGTTTTGGTAGACTCTGCAGTTTGCCTTTCCAGTTTGCAATGATATTCAAATGCAAAACATTTTCTCCATTCATTCTGCAAAACAACACATTTTCCTGTAAAATTGTTTTTGTTTTTGCTTTTCTAACCTTAAATTATTATTTGATCGATTCCTACAAACAGCCAAAAGACCTCTGCCGCAACAA